GTTCTATTGCACAACAACTGCAGCTATTTTCATGGAAATAAAGTTAATGAAAATCAAATACACTTTTTCAGTTTTTGCATTTTAGGTAGGTTTGCTAAGGTTAGATACATATATTTAATAAATTGTAATTAATACATTACAATTAATAAAATTAAGAAGAATGTAAGAATTTCGCTCTGAAACATGATAATTGCTATTTATCAGCATGCTTAATTTTAGACAATAATCCAAGAATTTCGTTACAAACAGAAAACAATTAGGCCTACTAGAGAAATTTTATGTCGGAGCGGGATCTGAGCGGGAATTGGTTCACGGTGAGCGTGAGCGGAATATTAACGGAGCGCTTGCTTGTGCGGTTAGAGCGGCTGAGCGCAGCGCACGTCCATAGTGCGGAAAACGTAGCGGAGCGTCACACCGTGTGTATCTTTGTAAGCGCTCTGTGAAGAGTGTGAATCATTGTAGCCAATCACAGACATATCTGTTGTGCGTGTGAACACAATGGCCAATCAGAGATGTTTAAGAATCCGCTCAACAGCGCTCAAAATGCTTGTGGGAAATGCTGGTATCGTCCCTTTTTTTTAAGTTCAGTACAGACTGGTACCGAAGTCAGTACTTTTGACAACACTACTGCTGAACACACCCATTTTTGCTGCAAATGTCTGACTCTGCTTGGTGCCTTCATTTCAGTTGAACTCCCTCCAGAATGAGAACAGCACTCTGAAGCCTCCTAACAGTTTGGCAAGGCCGCAGGACCTCCCGCACAGGGCACCTCCACGTGGCTGTAGGGCCATGTCGATGTATGAGACCGGCTCGGGTCTGAGGCAGTACCACCCTAGAGGAGAACCCATCTGCTGTGACACAACCCTGACTCTTCAACCACTGCCGTCAAATGTAAGTACAAGTCAAACCAAATCCAGAATTGGTTGTGGCCCTCCTGTTTCATTATTTCCTTGGTTTTAACTCATTTGGTAACCCAGTGAATCATCACTTGAGGTATGCATTGATAGCCCCTATTCTCTTTTTAATCATTCATATTTTTAAAAAAAATCCCTTTGCCCACTCAAATCATAATCTGAACCCTTTCTAGATTGGGAAGGGTCCCTCGGTGACTGCCTTCTCCTCCCTTCCCACGTTCCCCTCAACTCTGTCCTGGTCCTGGGATGAGATAACCCAAAGGGTGAAGTACCTGCTCAGTGAACAGGCTGCTGAAAGGGCTTCTCTTCTATCTGTCCCCCATTTACTCAGTGCATGAACCACAGATCTGTCCAACCAATGGACAACATGTTCTTTAGCTGGACTACTAATGCTAAACGTATGCACAGCAAGAGACACCAGCCATTAACATTACTCACAACTCTGCTTGATGTGTAAAGCAGTCACTGGCTCTCTGATATCTCAGACCCAAAACATACTCTATGCAAGTACGTGAATGCAGATGCTTGTAGCTACACAAGTTTGATGTCGTCCATCGTTTTGAAATGTATCAGAATGTAATCCATGCGTTTACATTTTACAAGTTGGCAGATGCTTTTATCTGAATCAACTTAGGTTACATTTGGCCTTATTCATGAAACACCAGCAGAACAAATTTGTGTGTAAATCATTCGTAAAGCCGTTCTGGCGTAAACATTCGAATTCATGAAAATGTCGTATTTTCAAAATGTTAGTTGGTACGAAATAAATGTACATCTGCTCCCTAACACGAGTAAACGGTGCGTAAAACGTTCTTTTTGTACTTTTTGGCAAACTGATGACACTGAATTTTGATGCACTGTCATAATAATTAGAAGTGCATTTGCCCTTGCCCTCTTTTTTTCTTTTCTTTTTTTTTTTTGTAGCTGAGTTGATAACTGTAAAACGCATCGTTCATCACTGTCACTGTTTGCCCAGCCTTCCAATCAATGGAGGACGGGCGGGACAAATACCGACCAACCATCCTACTTGTACAACAACTGCCTACAACAATGGAGAAGTCAATATTACTGGTTACTGATTTTTTATTTAGTAAAATTCTTAAAAGAGAGATACTAGTAATACGATGCCGCCATGGATATTCTAAATCAGTGTTTCCCAACCTTTCTTTAGTCGCGGCACCCTTTGGAAATTTTAACAAATTTGTGGCACCCTACCAAATTAATTTTGTCACAATATTTGAATTTCTAACTTTGATATGATACTTTGAAAAGTATAGATATTCGGTACAGCAGGGAAGAACTGCAGAATTTACTGTCATACAGATATTTTTAATATTATTAAAAAAAATTGTCCATCAATGGTGGCAATCAGTAGGCTAATTTCTAATGAAAAGACCAATTTATATGACAGATTTTAATGTAGGCTTTTATTCATATGTAAACATTGTGAGATAGCTAGTTATAATGGTAATTAAACAAAGTTTTGCTCACTCAGTGTATTTTTGATTTTACAGTTGGGTAATTTTGTTGCAGTAGCACGAGATAGCTTGATTTAAAACTTTGAATTGAATAAAAAATGACAAGGAGGCTAAGCAGTTAATAATAAAATAAGAACAAATAAAGAAATGACTAGTGATAGCACAAATAAAAAATAATGATAGGCCTACAAATGAAATAAATTGCTTTTTAGTTTTTCAGGTAGGTCTAACACACAGTAGGGCTATTAAGAGATTTTTTTTTTTTTTACCAATTATCCAAATAATGTTTAATCCTAGAAAGCTATTATTATCAGAGGACACGTGAGCATAACGGTTAGCAGATCAATGAATGAGAGGGCAGCGTTACCAGAGTTGCCCATTTACCACACCTTGTTACAGCACAGTAGGGCTATTGCAGACAGAAACAATACTGTACTACATCGATGTTTCCTATCAGCGTGCCTTGCATTCAGCTAATAAAAGAAAAATGTTGCAATTTTCTGGTGTTATTTTATTATTGTTGGGGCAGTCTCCAGCTATAGGCTACATTAAACTTCTCAAAATATAGCCCGCTTCAGATTGGTTTTAATCACTGCACAAATTTTTTTATCTTTACCTAATTCTGATTGGGTGGGCTCAGCCCACCCCTGCCCATGCCTGGAGCCGGCCCTGTTAGGCATATGGCCTATTAGTCATTGTGCATTTATGCAATATACTGGAGTCAAACCTGAGAAAGTAGACCAGAATATTCCCTTGCATTCCTGGACACGCAATTTGCTTAGCTGTAATTCATAGGTTGGGATTATGCTAATTGTGAATGAGCGTGCACGAGCGTCCTATTTATGAATGATTGGAATTCATTTACACACACATGTTTAACTATCAAATCGGAAGTTTATGAAGCATTTGTGAAACCGGAGGAGAGTTTTCGGGTAGGTTTCATAAATGAGGCCCATTGAACGTATACGTCTTATCAATTCCTTCATACTCAGTTGAACCCATGGCCTTGGTTTTGCTAGTGCCATGCATCGGTTTGAAGTGAGTCTTGTTGAGCAAGTTAAAGTTAGTTAAACTGGTAACATGTTTATAGCTTACTATATGAATAATTAATAACACAGTGCAGATAAATAAGGCTGATTTTTGAGGGTAACTATCGCCCCCTTGAGTCTTAAGGTTTTGTTAATGCGAGAACATGTTTTTACAGCGTGTTGACCAAGTGTCTGCGTGTGACTGCTTGCATGGAGTATGTATCTGGCTTTACTTTACAGCTCTATTGTGCAGAAGTTTTGATTCTACACCAAAAGCATGATGGTTTGCTGTGTCTTCATGCTTTAAGCTGAGTGAGCACCAGTTACAGTAACAGGAAGCAGAAAGCAGAAAGCTCACTATGATTCTATTCCTGTTGCAGGGATCCACATTAGACGCCCAGAGCGGCATGCCAGAAAGTGACTATGATAATGCACTGAACCATGTTGAGATGGACGAATCTGGGTTTGTCTTTGCACCTCTTGTTGTTTTAAAAAAACAATATATTCAAAGGTTTCTTTTTTTGTTGACACTGAACCCGTCCACCCACAGGTCAATACAGAGTAACTTTTCCAGGGCGAGTGGCTGGCCGGGCGATGTTACAGTGCCACAATCAGAAAACCCATCTGAGGACGAGTGCGATTCATCTCTACCGTGCACAGAGGACGTCATCAGCAAAACGGAGCTGATCACTAAAAACATCCAGGAATTACTCAGAGCTGCGCAAGAGAATAAACATGAGAGGTAAGAAAATTAGTCTGGCCTTTGGTCTCCCAGTCTCCAGTAAAATGGTCTTCCAGTCTTCAGTCTGAAACTGCAATGGCATTCAGCACTGGGGACACGGTGTCTCCTTTGTCTGTTAAACAAGGGATGGAATTGTGTCAACACTGCTGGGATATAACACCACATGACCAAGATGGAAGGGCACACATGTAGATTCACAAATGGCTAATGCTTCACCATGAGTTTACACCATGCAGTGTTCAGTATTCATATAAGTATCAGGAACTGTCATTTTATTAAATACTTTGAACACTGAGCCTTTGTTGCTCGACTTGTGCTGGTATTAAGTCTCCGGTCACTGCCGATAATTATGCATTCATGGGAGAACGATACCGTAGGTTAGCATTACACTCACCCAGATCTCCTTCATCACTTTAGCTCTTCTTTCACAGTGAAAGTAGTCACTGTGAGGTTGCTGTGGTGTTCTGGGTGGTTTTTACCACCAAGAACCACTCATTTAAAAAAATTGCTTTTCTTACCCTTGTTTTAAATTTGCATTTCTAAATATGGTTGTATGCTTACATCATTTTGTGATTTAAAATTTTTATTTTTATTTAAGGCTGTGAGTGTGAATCAAGTTTGTTTGGATGATTAGATGCATGTTTGGTTCTACTCCACATTTTTTGAATTTTTTTTGGAATTATAAATTAAAAGAATATTTTAAAATGGTAATATTTGAATCATAATTTAAATTATCTTTTTTATCAATTTAATAAGAAAAAATTAAATTTTTCATTGTATTTCTTTGTTGAAGCTTTGTCCCGTGTTCAGAGAGAATTCTTGTAGCAGTAACAGAAATGGCTACGTTATTCCCTAAGGTAAGCCTTGAGCCAACAAGGAAACTTTGCCTTAAAGGGGTGGTTGATTGTGATTTCACTTTTTTAACTTTAGTTAGTGTCAGAGCCGTTGAGAAACAGAGTTGCGACACTCCCATAGGCTTCCATAGGAACTGAGAAATGCGGAAGTAAAGCGTGTCATGGAGCAGCCAATAGTTCCAAACAACTAATAGTTCCAGTATTGAGGCCCATTCATTTCAGTGCTTCTCAAGCACACTCACCAGAAAGTTGAGGAAATTACAGCAGTTTTTGGCATTTTAATGCATTTCTCGGAAATCTGGCCAGTAGTTGTATTTAATGAAAGCGTTATAGTTAATGTTTAGTTTTAGATGATAGGCAGTTATGCTGTATTTGCAGTTAGATAACGTGAGAAACACCTTAATAGCGATCATAACCGGATGCTACTTGTCATATTTTTAAGTTTTTAGTCTTTCTGCAATTTTTCTCTACCTGTAGGAAGTTGAATTGAGTTTCAGTGAAGACAGCCCCATAAAGGAATACAAGAAAGCGTTTCCCTGAATGCAGTTGGTTGCCTTGTGTTTTTTAAACGTTATTTAAATTTTTTATTGGGTTAAATTACGTATTTGCTGGCCTTTTTTAACATTCACTTATATTGTCTTCTTACATAAATGTCATAAAATAATACTGGGATGTGAGTAATTAATCTTTTTAAATTCAACATTTAAAAAAAAAAAAGCTAAACTTATAAACAATTGAGTGTTTGATAATGTCTAAATATACAAAAATAAATAAGCTATTATGACCAGTAAAACCCTTTACAGCAACTAGAGTAGAGCTCAAAGCATGTCGCAACTCCGTACCCCGCCTCCGGAAACAGGCAGTGTTGCCAACTTAGCAATTTTGTTGCAAACTTTTTTTTTTTGCAACTTTTCAGACTACCCTAGCAACTTTTTCTTCCAAAAGCACCTAGCAACAAATGTAGCTATTTTAAAATTTTATTTGGCTACTTTTAGCAACTTTTGATAAGTGTCTCAAACAATAAAAAGGCACACGTTTTCCATCATAATTTCACAAAAAGAGGAAACCAAAGATGCCTTGCAGTACACACATCACATGAATTAAGTTACTGCTATTTGCAATTGTTCAATTTGATAATAATAATAATTTAATAATTGTTCATTTATGATACACCTCGTTAGTAGCTTGTACCTGTGATTGTTGATCAGTTAGTATACTGTAAGAAAAATATCTAGAAAAATGGAAAGGGTACTAGTAATTTTCCAGGACATTATCCGTTATCCATCATCTGTTGTAACCCGAAACACAAAATACAATGCGTAATTTAAAATGCAGGTAAAAACCTGTGAATTATTTTCTTAGAGTGTAGCATACTGACTACTAATACACTGCTTAAAACTATAATTGTTCAGAATGTGTAGTTTTACTAGTTTACTAGCTAATGAAAAAAACTTGTAATCGTTCAAAAATGTGTAAGTGTTCAATAATTCAATGTTGTATATAAAAATTATATTTTTCAATATACAACAAATCGAACTTCCTTTAGCAACTTCCCCTGAAAATTAGTTGGCAACACTGGAAACATGCAACAAAGGGGGCGAGGCCATGGTGCGCTGTAGAGGTCTGCATTCCCGCAGCTCTCCCGCGGGAGTAAATTCCCGAATAAAACGCGGTAGCGGTCTGTAACTTTGCAATTTGAACGGGAGCAGGCGGTCTAACGATATCCCGTTCCCGACGTCCATTTAGAACAGCATATCTGTGCTTTATTCTTATTTGACCAAAGGTAGGGTACAGCTTGCGCTCAGGACTGTTATGCACGCACTGCACACATGCTTTAAACGTCACACGTTTTATTAGAGGGTCTGTGCGCAGCATGTGCATAAGGATGCTCAGAGCAGGCTGTACCGGTGGTAAATATACGGCCCTCAGACAGAACAGGCAGGTTGTCGATGAGTGACAGAGCAGAATAACAATGGAGCAAAGTGTGGATGTGCTGTCCTTGAAGGAAGTTCATCTCGGTTTTGTTTATATTTTGCTTAGCCTATAATTTTAAATGAAAAATGTCATATTTATTTATCTCTGCGACAATTTTCCTACTGTGTTAACAGAAAAATGTCAAACGAATTTAGTATTTTGACAAGACAAATAAAAATAGCTAATAGGCTATTTTTGTTCAACCTACATTTCATTTTTAAATATTTTTTTCTCTCTGCGACACTTTTTTCCTATTGTGTTGTCATTGTTAAACGAATTGTATCCGGTGTATAAGTACAAGACGAATAAAAATAAGAAATACAATTTTTGTACATTTTTATTTTCTCTGACACTTTTTTTTTTCCCCTACTGTTGCATAAAATATTAAACGAATTTTGTGTCTTAAGATAATTCAAGTCAAATTCAATAAGTTCAAGACTCTTGACAAGACGAATAAAATACAATTTTGCGCAGACTACACTTTTATTTGTCAGCCTCTCTCTCTTTCAGTAGCGGAAATTTAAATGTGAGATTCTGGAAACATGATCTAAATTTAGCGGGAACGGTCGGGTCGGGAAGAAGATTATTCTAAGCGGACAGCAGTTGAAAAAAGAGTGAATATATAGCGGGAGCAGGTGGGTGTGGAATAGAACCTTGCGGGACTAAAAAAACAGTCCCGCGCAGACCTCTACTGCGCTGCTTTAGAGAAGAGAAAGAGTTGGTGCCATGCTGTCAAAACTAGAGGTTCACAAAAAAAATCTATTCATATATGAATCACGATTCTGTCTTCTAACGATTTTAATGGATTCACAAGTTTCAAAATCATTGTTCTAAAGCAGCGGTTCTTAATCCTGTTCCTCCCGTTCCCCTGCTCTCACATGCTCTCTCTCACCTGATTCAGATCATCAGCTTGTCAGCTCCATCCATGACCTGTGTTTCAATTATACACTTTATGTGTATAGACAGACATATTTTTCACATAGCTACGAGAAGTGTTAAACATGGCACGAATGCACATGCAGTTACCGTGGTAGTGAGGAATACTTGCTGGCAAACACTTCTTACTGTTACAAAATAAACAATTACATTACAAAAATGCTACAAGGCAATCATGTATTCTGCTGTATTAAAGCTTTAATCAGGATAAAACTTAATTTGTTAGAAGCTAACATAAGCAGTAGCATTTACAAATAACAGCATATCTAAAAGTATTACTTTTGCTGGATCAGCAGTTTGCGCCGCTGCCTGACACCAACGAGATCGCTACGAAAACATTTCTGGAGTCAGTTTCTCATCTGCCACCTTTTTTCGGTGAGTCGTTAACTTCTACGTGTGATTTCAAAAAGTATGTTTGGTTTAACTCCTTTAAGGCCTGATTAAAGTTCTATAGATTAATTAAATTGATTTTAAATGGATACAAAGGATCAGCAGTTTGTAAAACGTATCTTTACACATCAATATATCGTCACGGGCCGCTGGGGTTAATTTGGTTTTGTTTGTGTATGTTTTTTTTTTTACTCTCAAAGCCATGATTCCCATTCACTTCCATTATAAGACTGACAGACTGCAACGGTTTGAGTAAAAAATCTTCGTTTGTGTTCTACTGAAGAAACAAAGTCAGCTGATCTGTGATGCCACTGTCGTTCGGCACGCTACATTGAGCAGCCGCATTCAGTTTTTAATTGTAGTGTCTGTTCTTTTACTGAACTAAATGATTTTTATTACTATAAAAAAATCTAAACGACGGTGGGGGTCGGTGACGCGGTGGGCAAGTGACTTAACCGGTGTTGCGGCTTTACACCGGTATCACCGTCAATGCGTCTATCGCAGCAAGCCTAATTGAAAGATGGCAAAATTGAAACACATTAAACATATACTTAATAAAAACAACAAAATATATGCCAATAAGTACAGATAAATGTAAATAGATAAGTTTACAGGTAAGTAAATTAGCCAATTTTGTTTAAATGAAGGATTGCAGAAATGAGTACACCCTAGATTTAATTCAGAAAATGTATAATATTCTAGTACTTAGTATGTCCTTCAGAACTTAAAGTATACTGCTCTGACCCTTCTTGGCACTGAGTGTACAAGTTCATGACAAATTTTCAGGTCTTATTTTCTTCAGTCGGTCACTTTGTCAGTGGCTCTTCACACCTGCTGAATATTTTTCACGATACTGTGGACGAATTACAAATGAAGAGTCATGCAGTTAAAAAAGCCATACTATTTTCAACAATTTACGTTTTATTTAGATGATTTGCAATGGTACTTTTGCTGGATCAGCAGTTTGCGCCGCTGCCTGACACCAACGAGATCGCTACGAAAACATTTCTGGAGTCAGTTTCTCATCTGCCACCTTTTTTCGGTGAGTCGTTAACTTCTACGTGTGATTTCAAAAAGTATGTTTGGTTTAACTCCTTTAAGGCCTGATTAAAGTTCTATAGATTAATTAAATTGATTTTAAATGGATACAAAGGATCAGCAGTTTGTAAAACGTATCTTTACACATCAATATATCGTCACGGGCCGCTGGGGTTAATTTGGTTTTGTTTGTGTATGTTTTTTTTTTACTCTCAAAGCCATGATTCCATTCACTTCCATTATAAGACTGACAGACTGCAACGGTTTGAGTAAAAAATCTTCGTTTGTGTTCTACTGAAGAAACAAAGTCAGCTGATCTGTGATGCCACTGTCGTTCGGCACGCTACATTGAGCAGCCGCATTCAGTTTTTAATTGTAGTGTCTGTTCTTTTACTGAACTAAATGATTTTTATTACTATAAAAAAATCTAAACGACGGTGGGGGTCGGTGACGCGGTGGGCAAGTGACTTAACCGGTGTTGCGGCTTAACACCGGTATCACCGTCAATGCGTCTATCGCAGCAAGCCTAATTGAAAGATGGCAAAATTGAAACACATTAAACATATACTTAATAAAAACAACAAAATATATGCCAATAAGTACAGATAAATGTAAATAGATAAGTTTACAGGTAAGTAAATTAGCCAATTTTGTTTAAATGAAGGATTGCAGAAATGAGTACACCCTAGATTTAATTCAGAAAATGTATAATATTCTAGTACTTAGTATGTCCTTCAGAACTTAAAGTATACTGCTCTGACCCTTCTTGGCACTGAGTGTACAAGTTCATGACAAATTTTCAAATCTGTGTTGTTTAACTCCTGGAGGACGACCTCCTTAAATGCCCTGGTCTTTAATGGGGAGTGTTGCTCAGCTCGTCTCTACAGAATCCCCCACAGCTTCTCAAGAGTGTTAAGATTGAGTGAAATACATGTCCAGTGAAGGATTTTCACCTAGGGAGAACGAATATATTCATTGTCATGCTGAAAAAATGCCCAATAATGCAGGGAATGAGGGGAGGGTAGCATCTTCTATTTAAGGTTTTTGTATTACATCACACAGTAGTGTGTAAATTCATGCCAGCATTGATAAAGCACAACTCCCTCACACCTTCAGCACTCATACATCCCTATATAAAAGCTGAACGTCACTGTGGGTAACCAAGCACTTCTCACTGTACTCCTCCTCTAGCAACACCAGAA